GAATCCGAATCTGCTATATCAGAGATCCTGCATCAGCCGGAGCTTGGGATCCTGAGGGAGCCGAAATAAGAGGGGGACCCCAAGCCCTGGCCCTGGCTGCAGCCAGACAGGCCACTCAGCAACTCCAAGGGGTCCTCGCAGGTGATTGGAGATTAGAAGGAGGCAGGGAGGGCTGAGAAGCAAAGGGCTAGGGGGGAAGACAACCAGAGAAAAGGAACTCTTAAGATGTTGAGGTGAAATTGACCACTTACCTTTTTTTTTTTTTAAACATTTTATTTATTTATTCATGAGAGACACACAGAGAGAGGCAGAGACACAGGCAGAGGGAGAAGCAGGCTCCATGCAGGGAGCCCGATGTGGGACTGGATCCTGGGTCTCCAGGATCAGGCCCTGGGCCAAAGGCAGGCACTAAACCACTGAGCCACCCAGGGATCCCAACCGCTTATCTTTTTAAGTTCCTCCAGTGCAAGGCCCCCTGCTTCTGAGTCGAGACCCTGCACAGTACTGCCATGCTGTCTGGGGGGACCCGGACACCCCAAACTATCACAGGTGAGTTCATGCCCTTGAAAATGTATATACTGACTCTTTAGGGGCACAGAAATGTCTCCAGCTCACCTACAGATATTCATTCTTGGCAGATGCAGCCTCTTAAACCCAGAGTACAAGGGAGAGACTTGCCTGGGGGCAAAGGTGAGGGCAATTTCTCAGATTTGGGGATCTGAAGATCTCCAGCCTGCCTAGTCTTCTCCAAGACCATTAGCACCAAAGTCACTTAAAGTACTTCCTAACAAATGTAAATTCCTGAGCCCCTTCTCCCCTAGGCAATTTATTAAATGGGGGGTGGGGGGAGTGGGCAGGAGTCCCTATTCTGACCAGCTGCCTAAATGACCCTAAGGCCTACTAAAGATAAAGACTGTCCACTCCTCACTCCCAGTACCGTTTCCTATTGTCCTCACCTGCTAAGCTAGATGTTTCATTTCACTCCGGGCCAGATCCCTGATGCCCATCTCCGTGGTTATGCATTGTGGCCAGAGCAGGGTCCCCCACAACTGGTCCAGCCAGATGGGCCTGGGGTCCAAGACACTGATTTTCTCCTGTATGTGTTGGTGGCCCACACTTCCAAGTGCCATGGAGAGGTAAGACCCTAATCAAATCCTTTTCCCTGTTCTGCCTCTCTTAATCTTAAGTATCATGGGGAGGGGAAGGGAGCACAAAGGCAGTTTTTATTAAGTTGTCCTTATTTGAGGTGACTTGGTCATGTTGATGAAGTTCAGGTGGGAGCTAAGCCCCTTCAAGCCATCCCTTGGTACTATCCTTGCTGAGTTCCCGGGATGTCCACTTTCAGGAAGATCTCTTCTGTGTACCCCACTTCCCTGCTTCCCATCTACCTTGTCCTGGCCCCATCCACAGCCCTCTGTCATAGCCTATGCTGCCTGCTGCCAGCTGGACTCAGAAGACAGACCCCTTGCTGGCACCATTGTCTACTGCGCCCAGCATCTCACCAGCCCCAGCCTCAGCCATAGTGACATCGTCATGGTGACTGCCGCATGATGAATAGGAAGGCGCAAACAGGTTGGGGGAAGGGGGCAGGTCACTCAGCTTCCCATGGAGTGGAAGAATCTACTAAGGATTGGAGGAGAAGCTGCCTCAACTCTAAGAAGAGCTGATTGGGCAGAGGGACTAGAGAGTGGCTAGTCAATCTGCTCCATCCCCCACCCCCCTCACCCTGCAGTCATTTGTCCTTAGGTCACACTACACGAATTGCTCCATGCTCTGGGGTTCTCCGGACAGCTCTTCAAGAAGTGGCGGGATTGCCCCTCAGGACCCAGCGGTAAATGAGAGGAGTGAGGGCAAGCTTTCCTACCATGTCAACAAGAGGGGATCACTACCATCCCACCAACTCCTTCCTTCCGGTGCTGCTCTACACTTCCTAAGTCTTCCTCTTCTCATATTGCCTTCTTCGCTTTGTGTGCTCAGTTAGGGAGAACTGTTCCACAAGGCAACAAGTGACACGGCGAGATGAGTGGGGACAGCTGCTTCTAACCACCCCAACTGTTAGCCACAGCCTGGCCAAACACTTGGGAGTGCCAGGGACTTCATTGGGGGTTCCCTTGGAAGAAGAGGTGAGAATGAGAACACCTGGGGGTGCTGGAAGGAACGGGAGTAGACAGGTGGCAACCAGCTACCTCCTCCCTAGGGCCCTTTGTCTTCACACTGGGAGGCCCGAATGCTCCAGGGTTCTATAATGACCGCTACCTTCGATGGTGCCCGGCGCACTCGACTTGATCCAATCACTCTCGCTGCCTTCAGAGATTCTGGCTGGTACCAAGTCAATCACAGCGCTGCACAGGAGCTGTTGTGGGGCCAGGGTGAGAACAAGGAGAATGGCAGAGGGGCCCTTGTGACCTGGGTCAGTTTGGGGGCAGTGAGAGAGGTTGGGAGGGATTATCTGCTGGTGTGAGGGATGCTTGGGGCTTCATTTGTCCTTTTTTTTTTTTTTTTTAAAGATTTTATTTATTCAAGAGAGACAGAGACACAGGCAGAGGGAAAAGCAGGTTCCTCACAGGGAGCCTGTTGTGGGACTCAATCCTGGAACTCCGGGATCACACCCTGAGCCGAAGGCAGCCACTCAACCACTGAGCCACCCAGGTGTCCCGACTTTGTTCTGAGGGTTCTCTCTCTTCCTGTCTCTCAAGCAGGAGCTGGCCTGGAATTTGGCCTGGTGACTACGTGTGGGGCTGGCTCCTCAGACTTCTTCTGTACTGGCAGGTATGAGCGCTGCATGGTTGAGGGGCTGTACAGCTGTCAGGGACCCTAGTGTCAGATGCCATCCCTTCCCCACAGCGGAGTGGGCTGCCATTACCTGCATCTGGACAAGGGAAGCTGTTCCTCTGACCCCATGCTGGAAGGCTGCCGCATGTACAAGCCCTTGGCCAATGGGGTGAGATGACTAGAGAATAGAGTGAAACCGAGTGGGCCCAGAGCAGAGTCAACTTCCAAGGCATCTAGGCAAACATTTTTCTGCCTCCTGCCCCGCCCTTCAGAGTGAGTGCTGGAAGAAGGAAAACGGATTCTCACTGGAGGCAGAGAACCTCCATGGGGAAATCTACCATTCCCAGAGTCGTTGCTTCCTTGCCAACATCACCTCACCACTGTTCCATGAGGCCAAGACCAGGCATCCCTCTCAGATCCCATACCTGAAGGAAGCAGAGCTCACTGGCCGCTGCTACTTACATCAATGCACAGAGAGAGGAGCATACAAGGTGCAGGCAGAGGGATCACCATGGGCCTCATGCCTTCCTGGAAAAGCTATTCAGGTGGGCATCGTAAGTGATAAGCTATGCAGCACATTGGCAAAAGGAAGTTTAAAGTGCTTGTACAGTGGTACTATCCAACCTATTTCGATGTTTTTTTTTTTTTTGTTTGTTTGTTTTTTACCAGTTACCCACTGTGTCCATGACCCTGACCTAGGCTGTACTTTTTCCTGGGAAGGAGGGCTTGAGCAATTATGATCAAAACTATACCCTGCTATGTATTTCCTTGCAGATACCTGGGTACTATGGTCTTCTCTTCTGTCCCCGGGGTCGACTGTGTCAAACTAACGTAGGTACCAGCGCTGTTACTTCACCACCTGTGAGTCTTCCGATCCAAGATGGGTTATTCCAGCTGTCTTTACAATTAGCTGGGCCCCCTGGCGACTCCATGGGGAAGGGAGAGCTCGAAGAGCTGACTGAAGCAGTACTACAGGCCCTGGTGAGCAGAGGCGGTGCCAGCAGGTAAAGGGATAGTACAGGCTGAGGATTCATACAGTGGGCCAAGGGAACTGCATAAGTGGGTTACTGAACAACTCTTCAACTCCCACTCCTAAGCCTGTACCTGTTTCAGGAGTTACTCTTCCAGGGACTCTACCTCCCTTAAGAGATCCAAATGTCTCTATAGGTGCTATTTCCACAGCCCCTCCATTACTGCTAGCCTAATGTTCACCGTGTACATGTGGAAGTCCTCTGGCTGCCGAGGGCCTTCAGTTGGTATGCTACACAGGGCCCTGACCTTGACTCTCCAGAAACCCCTAGAAGTACACTATGGAGGAGCCAGCTTTACCACAGAACACATCAAGTAAGATAATATTCCAAGTAGTTTTCTTTCAAATCCAGGAGTCCAGATGTTTGAAATTGCACTAAGCACTCACTCCTATGTAGGTCCTAAACAGGGTTATTTCAGAAAACTAATGTGATGACCTCAGGTCTATCACTATGGGACACCCTTCCCACCACAGTAATGGAGTTCCTCATCTCTAGGACATAGGGATCCTAGTCCTCTTCCTTCCTTAAGTACTAATGGGGCACCATGTCTAGCTACCCAAACACCGTAGTCTAACTCTTCCCTTAAATCATTTCCCTCACTGCCAGGTTGGCTTCTAACAACTTAAGTTTGCTAGGAGACTCGGATTTTTTTTTTTCCTCTTCTTTTCTAGGAGACTTGGATCTTGGTCTTTTTCCTACATTCAGGTTCTATATTCCTGATTTCCTTTGTAGCTTACCAATTGGATGAAGCAAGGTTTCATGAGCTCTGTGTATTATGATAAAGGTGAAGCCCTTCACCTTCCAAGCCTGGGCATTATTCCAAGCCAAATATTACCTCTATGTTCCTAGGTTGCTGGCTACCTTGGACCATAATCCCTCCGTGACCCATCTTGCACTGTCCATGGGACTCTGCCTAACACTGCTTATCCTGGTGGGTGCACTGGGAACCGTGGCTTATCAGAAACGAGCTACTCTTCGGGTGGCACCATCTGCCCCTCACCATTCACCAGAGCTCCAAGACACAAGAGACCCAGTTGGAGGAATAAGGGAGGTGTGATGTTACCCAAAGCATGACAGGGTAGATAGGGCAGATTATTTCTTGGAAGACAACTGGATGCCAAGTCTACCTTTTCTCAGAATGCCTTTCTCTAGGTATCACCTCTATACTAGCCTTGTAACGAAAAAGAGCTAGAGACATGGTTCTGAGGATTCTTTATTTTGATACAAAAAATAAACCCTTTAACCTATAGAGTGTCACTTGTTTTCATATCACAAACTTACAGAATAGGAATCTGTTACCAGCTCCAAGAATATCACATATACTTTAGAAGTCATTGCTATTCGGATTCAAACAAACATCAGTGTGGAAGGAGTAGCTAATTGTTTCCCTCTCCTGATTTTTTCATAATTTTACAAAATCATCACTAGGAAAGCTAACAGTTGGCATGTCACACAATTATGCCAGAATCTGGAAAGGGCAGTGGAACCAACCATGTGAATCCAGTTAAACTATAAAAACATGACCTTTTATTGTCCTTCTCTCCTGCTTCTGGAGTAGGAAAGCTTTACTTAAAAGCCCCACGGGCCAGCAATATGCTTATTTTTTTTTTTTTATGCTTGAGTTATAATGTGTAGGTTCCCTCTCATTATACTTGCAAAAGAAGCCACGGAATTCTTCAGGGTCTGATATGTAGAAAGGAGCAAGCTAGGAGGCAGACTGGATTTACTGGGATGGAAAACAATTATGTGAGCAGTCCAGTTGATAGGCTGTTAACATTGAAATAACCAAGGCTTGGGGCACGTGGGTGGCTCCGTCGGTTAAGCATCCAACTCTTGATTTTGGCTCAGGTCATGATCTCAGGATTGTGAAATCAAGCCCGCTTAAATCAGGCTCAGTGCGGGGCATGGATCCCGCTTAAGATTCTCTCTCTTCCTTTGCCCTTCCCCTGCCTCCAAAGATATAATCAAGCCTGTACAGGTCAACAAGTTCAATCAGCTGATTGGAATACCATCCCTAGACCTTTAAGCGACACATTTGAAGTTCTCACAGTAAAGTTGTGGCTCCATCAGCTGTGATTATCTTCTTTGATTTTAATGTCCATCAGTCTTTACCAGCTGTAGCAGCCACTGCTTGGTAAAACTTTGCCACGAAGTCTGGCTCACTGACCTCCAGCTGCCTGACAAATTCATTGCGCTCCTGCTCAGCCCAACCTCGAAACCACTGATCCCAAAGACGTAGCTGGCACTCAAAGATACAAGGTGGTCGGTTTGCTCTAGACACACTAAGCTGCTCCAGCCCTTCCAGCAGTGGCTGTAATTTTCCTGGCACTGCCTTAGCTACCAGGTCCTGTAGGAAACGTTCACGCTGGGGACCTGACCAACTGGCAAACCAGTGAAGAATACACTTCATCTCCTGGGAAGTGATGTAAGACATTGGGGGTGGGGAAGAGTTAGTAATACTATCTGGTACTGAGGGTAAAGGAGGAGGGAAGGATAGTGGCATTGAAGAGGAAGATGATTCCAGCGGCATCCTGAAAGATAAAAGCACTGTTATATATTCTCTAGATAAAGTAACAAAACACAATTTCCCAACGAGGAATCTTATCACAATCAGCATCTACAGATAAAATTACTTTTCACCAATTTACAGGAACACAACAGGGTACTTCATACCGGTTATTATCCAATTACCTTAGAGAGGTCACTCAAGAATAACTTAATTTCACATTTGCCAACCTTCCTCTTTTTGAAACCATCACTCTCCCCAAAGACTGCTTCTCTCCATTATTCTTATAAAGAATCTAAAAATAATCTACACATTTCTTGCTCATTCTCTCTGGACTACTTTTATGTTCCAGGTTGATAAAGAAAAAAAAAAAACAAAACAAACAGTGATCAACATTGGTGCGTCTCACCTTAAAAAGAAAAAAGGAACACATTTTTAAATCTAGTACATGCAGCCAATCTGGACCTAGATGTTAATCATTCCAGAACTATCAACAGTGAGAGAAGAAAAAAAAATCAAAATCATACATGATGGAAAGAGTGTTTTGTTTGTTTTGTTTTTTAAGATTTTACTTATTTATTCACGAGAGGCACAGGCAGAGGGAGAAGCAGACTCCCTGCAGGGAGCCTGATGCGGGACTCAATCTGGGTCCTGAGCCAAAGGCAGACACTCAACTGCTGAGCCACCCAGGTGTCCCAGAAAGTCTTCTTTGTAATGTGCATATAGCCTCTGAAATATGCCAAGAACTTCATAACATCCATTACTTCCTTACATTTCCAGTAAAGCACCAGGAAAAATTGAAGACCAGAGTAAGTGCCTTACCCAAAATAAAACACAGTTAAGAAAAAATAGGAGAAGCCAGTTTATTCCAAACTGGAAAATGTCTAGTTAGTTTGGTAGCTTAGGACCCTAACAAGTGTTACACTGCTGTAGATGTAGGACAATCCATGTCTTTGCACATTTTCCTTAAAGTTCAATGTAAAATACTCATTGATGCCCTGCCACTGATTTGCATCAGTAATCCAAACTGAAGGTGAGACGACTTGAATAGGTCTCGGACTCGCCAGTTTGAATTTCTAACAATGAAAACCTTAAACTACTTATCAGTGACCTATTTTATTGTTCTGCGGCAATCTGGGAGTATTTGCAGTGACAAGGAAAGGAAACCCTATACTTAAAATTAACATCAATCAGTTCAGTACCCAAACAGTCCGAGACTGCCTTTTTCACAGCGGCCCTACAAGAAGCAATTCCTCCTTACGGAACTTTATTCTCTTATTCGGGGTAAGGAAAAACTTTTGCCGAGTCTTGCGACACGGCCTCCTCAGCAAACTCAAGTTCAAGGATTATGACTTCGTTCACAGTCTGGGCCCAAAGACACGGTGCTGCCACTTGCCCGCTCTGGAGGCCAGGTAGCCTGGCATCCACGGACCCAAAGAGCAACGTAGTCTTGGATGGGAGTGGCGGGGATTCGGAAATGGGGGGGCGGCAGCTGTACTGGCAGCAGGACGGCAACTGCGCCCTACCTGGGTAACCCGCAAACGCCGAGTCTGACCCGGCCCAGGGAGGGGCTTCTACTGCGCTTACCTCCCCTTTCCTCTCACAGGGAACCCGGAGACCGTCACAGAGATGCTTAAATTCCAACTGTCGCCGCCGCTTCCATGTTTCCTGAAAACCCGAAGCAGGGCCAGCCCGGCAGCCCACGCACTTCCGGCCCCGGACCAGCCCCAAACACCCAAGCGCCTCAGCGCCTCAGCCGTAGGTTCGGAGAGAGCCGAGCAACTCCGACTTTGTTATGCCAGAGTCGAAGGCTTCCGAATACATTCGATTCCAAGCCTCGGTAAGACGAAAATAACCGAGCTCTGAAAGCAGAGAGAGGGCGGGGGCGCGGCTGGGAGGAGGGAAAGAACTGATTGGTGCCGATGTGGAGACGGAAACACCCGAGCAGTTCCGGAGGAACCCGGGGAGTTGTGAGTGGTAATCGAGGGGTTGACTACGGCAGTGGGCGGGGTCAACTCGGTACGTTCCAAGGGCGTTGGCGGAAATTACCGAAGATGCCCGAAGCCGTCGGGACGGACCCGAGTACCTCACGCAAGATGGCGGAGCTGGAGGAGGTGACTCTGGACGGGAAGCCTCTTCAGGCGCTGCGGGTGACCGACCTGAAGGCCGCACTGGAGCAGCGAGGCCTAGCGAAGAGCGGGCAGAAGAGCGCCCTGGTCAAGCGGCTCAAAGGGGTGAGAAGTCGGCGTTGCCGGGGTGTCGGAGGGGAGCGGACCCGGTAGAGACGGGGCTCTGCCGCGGCGCAGGCGCAGTGTCCGGGCTCCGCGCGAGCTCGCTCAGGCCGCCAGCGCGAGCCTCCGGATCCGCGCGCACGGTGGTTGGTGAGGCTCGCGCTGGAATAGAGATAGCGCCGGTTCCCGCCTTAACGGCAGCGGCGCGAGCCCAAAATGGGAGGGTGCGCGCTACTCTCTCGGAGTGTCTTAAGCTCCTTCCTCCTTCCCCCACCCCCTCCTTGTTTGTGTCTGTGGTTTCGGCGCATGCGCTGCAGAAGGAGTTAAATCCCACTACTACCACCGGCGTAGCTGGCCTGAGGGGGGCGAATTGGGCAGGGTCGGAGTTAGGGGTACAGTTGGGCGGAGGGGTGAATGGGGTGGTTGTCGGTGTCCGGAAGGATAGGATCGGGATGTAGAGTAAAATGTCTGCCTGATTAGATCAGGAGGTGAGATAAAGAGAAACCTTGATTTGAAGGGACTCGGTTATAGAGGGGTGTATAATTTATAGGGCATCCAGAAGCAATTTGGGCGGATAAGAGTTTGGTGAATATTGATGAGAGAGGGGGCAGGTTGGTATATGTTGGGCGTTTTGAATCGATTTGAGTAGCTTAGGGTGGGATCGTCATGAGGTGGGTGGATTTGTGTGTATAGATTTGGTGTAAACGGTGGGAAGAGGAGGATGTCTTGGTCTTAACTGGGGTTAATTAGGATACATGGCCTCTAGTACATATTAGTGCTGGGTTGGATCAAGGGTTAGTTTGACAGACCGTTCCCTCTACAGAAGCTGTTTTGTGTATGTGGATTGGGTCAGCCATAATTTAGAGTCTGTGGTCATTTTGTTCTGTAGCCTCCCCTTTGAAATTTTTATAGAGTTGATAAATCTACATGCCACTCTGTTGGAAACAATACAAGTTCATTCAAGTAGATCTAGTCCTGGGTAACTGAGCAAGTAATTCAATCAAGCCAAAACCAGCAGCCCTATGTTGGTTTCCTGTATTTGAAGCTGACTTGAGTATTTGAAGTCATTTTACCTGCATGGCCAGATTTAGAAGGGGCATTAGTCAGAAGTGTAGAAGATAATAGGGACTGTAGTGCTGGTTCTGTCACTGTAACTGATTTTATTACATAGCCAGGTCACTTGATTTTCTCCAGGTGCCTGCAGTTCACATTTGTACATTTGAGAGCAGTAATGGTGGCTATGTTTAAGGGTCTTCTGAAGATGAATGAGAACAGTATTAGTTAAAAGACTTTTAGGTCCCTGGGAAAAGAATACAGTTTAACCGTGTATGGTTAGTCATTGCATTCAATGAAGAGATTGGGGGGGGATGGGGGGGGGTGGTTTTCCCCTAGTTTCTGACTTTTGCCCTTCTCTGTACCAGGCTCTAATGCTAGAAAATTTACAGAAACACTCAACACCCCATGCTGCATTCCAGCCAAATTCCCAGGTAAGAAAAAAGGTTTGTTAGCTAGGGTGGGCTCTTTCGATGCATAGACCTATTGAAAGACATAATGATGTATATTTGATACTTAAGTCCTCACTGGTGTTTTCCTAAGTTCCCTGGGTTGGAAATGTCCTCATTCCAGGAACAGTTGAATTTTAATAAGGAATTCCAGAACTGAATTAGAAGAGCTGTTAGTTAATTTCTGATACTTGCAATGATGTGTGCAGAAAGATGGGACTCCAGTTGATTAAGTATAGTACAAGAATCCAAAGTCATTTATTTGCCATTGATTTGGGAAAAGTAGTTGATGTCTTTGAATGTAGTAGATATGAAGTAGACAATCAATAGGGCAGTGTAAGGAAATACTTGCTGATCAAGAAGTCTGGTGTTGACAAAGATTTTCCAAGAATTCAATCCTTTGGAAATTACCCGCCATTACCAGTGTTAATGCTAACTATGCACTTACTCCCAAACATCATTAATTCCTTGGTTTCTTAGGGCAGAAATTTAACCTTTGGAGGTCCTGGGTCCTTCAGTTCCTATGTATAACACGAGAAGGCATTGGACTGTGTACATAGCTTTATACTACCCTCTTAACTAAATTAGATCTATTTTTACCTGTTATGTATATTGAGTTTCAGCATAAGATTTCTTTAGAAATCATTCCACAGTTTAAAAAAGTGAAACTTTTAGACTGTGTGACCTCATAAGATCATTTTCAGCTCTTAAAATCGCCTCATTATAGTGTGTTACGTACATAAAGGAAAATCCAGAGCTTTGTTAGTGCAGTTTTGTGCAGCTCTGGTACTAGATGAAGTCCCAAGATACTGTGGAAAAACAAGAGAGCCTTCCTAGTCCCTTGTTGCCACTTCATTAAGCTATATCATAATCTAGTAAGTTTACAGATGTTTAGTTAAGAATAAGTTTAAGAAACTACATAAGTTAATCAGTTTGTGATTATATTCCTTTTGTTCATTGCATTTTAGTCTTTGAAGCTTTGCTTTTTTTTTTTTAATTTTTTTTAAAATTTATTTATTTATGATAGTCACACAGAGAGAGAGAGAGGCAGAGACACAGGCAGAGGGAGAAGCAGGCTCCATGCACCGGGAGCCCGATATGGGATTCGATCCCGGGTCTCCAGGATCGCGCCCTGAGCCAAAGGCAGGCGCCAAACCGCTGCGCCACCCAGGGATCCCTGAAGCTTTGCTTTTATTAACCTAGGATTTTTGCTGCAAATGCATATCTTTTCTAATACATGCAACCCATACTTCATCAATGTCCGTTGAGTACCAAGAGACCTGTTTCTATTTTAGATGAAAATAAACATTTACCTTGCTTGGGAAAGAGGACTGAAAACAAGCAATATGTATTCAGATTTTTTCTTGAGTTCTAGTAGGACTTGCTAAGCAAGAAGGCTCTGGGGAGGAGGACTTGGGAAGAGAAAACTGAAGGACAGAAGAATGCTGTGGGAATCTGTATTGCAGGAAAAAAGTTGGAAAAGGAAGTAAGCTTCTGGATTTTAAATAGTGTTACCTAGGATTTCTTCCCACCCAAAGAAAATAGAGTTAAAACTCTGAAAGCTGAACGGTCATCCCCTTTCTTAATCTCTTGCTTTCATCCTTTACTGTACTTCAATTTTGGAGACGTTTGACAAAATGGTTCCAGGATAGGTGGAGATTGACCATTTTTATCAACAAAAAATGACATGGTATGAACTAGTATTTTTTCTTGTTGTTATTAAAAGGAAGATTTAGATTATATTTAGATAATTTAGATTTTAAGTTACTTGGGCATCACTGGTTGGGAACTAAATATTTAAAATAAGAAATCATGTGTGGTTCCTCTCTTTGCCATCCTTTATGAATCATACGATTCTTTATTTTGGTTCAACAAAACTTAGAAGAGGGCCTTCAAACATTTTGATAATCTTTCTTGGATTCAAATATAAGAGGAAGACTTTTGCTCCGTGAAATTTTCTTCCCTGTGTTTTCCTGGTTTGCTTTCCTCAACTTTTCTTTTTCCATGTCTTCTACACAGATTGGCGAGGAAATGAGCCAGAACAGTTTTATAAAGCAGTATCTGGAAAAGCAGCAGGAGCTTCTTCGGCAGCGTCTGGAACGTGAAGCCCGAGAAGCTGCAGAACTTGAAGGTAAGCCCGGACTGTCAGAAGGAGTTTTTCATTCTTAACTCCTGTCACTGAATAAGATAGGCCTGTTTAACTAGGCAATTTCAGGAATAAGTCAGGCTGAAACTGCTACTTATTTGCTTTGGTAGTTAAGCCAAGTGAGTTGTTTGTTTACCTTTTGTCAGGGAAGAAAACACTTAATTTAACTATCTGTTAGAAGAGGATTCCTGCCAACAGGAAGAATTATAAGTAAATTAAGCTACCCTTTAAATGAGGTAGTTCTTAATCCCAGGGAGTTTTTTCTGTGTACAGTGCTCTTTTTAGTATATGCTCTGTGTCCCATGACTTTGCTTGATTTCCTTCACTCCCCTACATATTCCCACATGATGAGCCCTTCACTCCCTCCCTGCCCCGACCCAATCTGTACTTTGCAGAAGCTTCAGCTGAGTCGGAGGACGAGATGATCCATCCTGAGGGAGTGGCTTCCCTGCTGCCTCCTGACTTTCAGAGCAGCCTGGAGAGACCAGAGCTGGAACTCAGCAGACATTCGCCCAGTACGTATCTCCCTCCCCACTGCGCTGATTTGTCAATCCTGCGTAGTTGGTGGGGGGAGGTAAGTTACGCCTCCTCTCATGCTAAGCCTCCACTGAAGTCCCAGAGAAATTCTGCGACATTGACACTTCACATCTGTTTGTCATGGGAATTATGTCCTTTTGGAAGTCTGCTTTCACCTCTGTGTCGTGTTAACCTCTCAGAGTGTTTTCTAAGGCAGCATGATGTTTCTTCTCCTCTGTACCTCTTTAACCTCTTGTGCCTCTGGGTTGAGCAGGAGTCATAACTCTTCACCAGTTGTATAGATTACTTCTTGCACACTCAGTCATACCACCCAAATGGGTATCTGCTGTAGTTCATTAATTCATTCAGCAAGTTTTTGTTGAATGCCTGTTGTATGGTAGGCACATGCTAGGCACCAGGAATATGGTAGAGAAAGGACA